GATTATCTAGTGTGAAGAAATACATTTGTATTCCTATTAAATTTTATTATGTTCAGAAATATGTATAAAAGATTGATCTTGCAAGATAAATAAATAAATATTTTAAATTTAAAAAATCACGTGAAATTCGATAACTTGGTTCTCTCGATAAGTCGGTCACAGGTGTCCGCCCCGACATGACCGACTTATCGAGTTTACATATGTATTTTCGTACAAAATTTTCTTAGCTTATATGCAATTTTATTTCTTATTTTATGATTTTTTTATTATTTTTTTTTTGAAATGATAAAAATTTACAAAAACATTAAAATAGTCATAAATAATAATCAAAATTATTTCCTAACAACTGAAAATATTTCACAATCTACCCATCGAAAACGACCATCATTTTCTAAAATACTACTTTCATATGTAACTTTACGAGCTTCACCACTTTGATCACGATTCATCTTCAACCAGAGATCAGGACCCTTACCAAACCTTGGACCATGCCAAGCCAAATCATCAACATCTTTATCGACTAATGAAGTTGGTGCAATTCTGGCTATTTTTGCATCATAAGGAGATTTTCCATCACCCAATGTGAAGATAAAGCTATCTTTTGTACCTTGACCAAGACCCAGATTTACATTTTTCCAACCTAAAGGATTATATCCACCTATTAATTGACCAGAATCGCGTAATTTCAATACAATTATAACAGGCCCTTTTCCTGAACATTGTTGTATCAGTGCATTCAATGAACAACAATCACGACTTGCACGAAAAAGTAGAGTAAAATTATATTGAACTCCAATTTTGATTGAATTATCATTATCTAGCCATTGTGAGATTAAGGCAGTGTGTTGAGGACCAATGATAACAGAATCAATTTTTATTGGTGAAACCCTTGGTGGTAATATGACAGCGGACTTAGGTTGATCATTGGCAAGGTAATAACACATAAGATCTTTGTGTAATGGTTTTGATAATAGTTGTTTGTAAGGCCTCACTTTATGACAATAATCGACTGAAGTCATTTGAAATAGTCTTATATGTGGAATGATTTGATGAATAGTTTGTTTTAAAACAAGAAAATGCTCTTTTTTCCAATTTTGAAGATCTCTAGGAAGTTTAGAAGAACTATTTGCGATTCCCCATTCAATCACTTTATTCCAGATTTCTATTTCTTTCATTCCGAGGTCATCTCGTTGAATTACTGTGATAAGCATGATCTCTTCAATTGAAGTAAAATCTGATGATTCAAATAATACTCTAGCATCTTCAGCAATCAATCGATTACAATAATTTAAAAGGTTTTGATAACAGGTGGGACCGTTCTGGGAACACAAAAATTAACAGGAGGGAACACAAAATTTTAACCCATGCCATTTGTTGATTGACCAATTA